GGAAAGTCCGAGACAATTGTAGGTGTTTCAACAAGTGGTTGGTCAAGTCTGCAGAACGATCGGTCGGCGCGGCTCAGCTGCAAGACAACGCGGCAAAGGGAGGGTTTAGGGGAAGTATCATGGAACCACCATGACAGCAAAACAAAGGAAGAGTGGAGTCACAGCTTGATAAAACGGCAGGTACGCAGGGCTGATCAGGCCCTGCTTCCCACTCTCGCCCACAGCTTCGTTGCGTGTGGTAGGGCGAGAGTGCCACACGCCCCTGCCTGTAAGGAGTGGTGGTGGAAAACCCTTTGTCCAGGGGTGGACACACACACACACACGAAGAACCTCGTTGGCTTTTGCTGCCACATTGGACCTTGGACGTCGACCCCAGCCCTGAAATGGACAGAATCGAATCTTCCGCATAACATGCATAACTAACTAACCAACCATGCATCTACCAAGTGCAAGGATCTTCGACCAGAAGCGACCGGGTGGATGATGAAGGTATGGAAGGCACAACACTTCAGAAAAGAATAGTGAATGAAACGTAATTAATCAAAGGGACGGCCAATGGCATGGCAGCATCGAGTTCACAAACCTGGAACCTCCAGAAGCCTGGGAGGGATCGAACGAAAGACGGGGCGTCAATGGGCGTCAATTTCACGGAATGGTCAAAATCAGCAGAATCAGAAGCATTGGAACCCTTGGAAGAGTACCCTTGGAAGAGCAAACAGGATGCATTTGAGCAATCAGTGGGGCAAGAACAGCAAAACATCTGAAAAAATAGCAGAGGTGCAGGTGAAGGGTGCCGAAGCTACAATCAATTGTCATAGCGATAGTGCTAGTTAGTGGATCAGTGAGTTTTGGATTTGATCATTGCAGGTTGCCCACGAGAGGTAAACTTGCCGGAAGGATGTTTTAAGGTGTTTTAAGAACTGTTGTAGGGTCCAGCATTTCAACCCGAACTCGCTGAAACAACTGGGAGGTTTGGCATTGCACAGACCAAACTCAATGGTAGATTTGTTTCACCGAGGGATCGCATCAAGAGCAAGTGCGTAAGATTTTGTCTCGAACCACAGAAGCTGGAATTTATATAGATGATGCTGGCTCCGCTGGCTGTATATACTGCAAACACCCACTCCTGTTTCACTTGGGCAAACAGGCTTGCTATACGCACATACTCGTATGATATGTGACCAGCCGTGATCAGCAGGTTGTGACTTCCACATAAACAATGGACAATGGTGGACCATTTCTTGGACCAGTCGTTGAATAATGACAACAACGCATTACAAAACGATTGAATAATGCGCGTGTATATAGGAATAACTAGACGTGTCAATATATACTGCACAAATAAAGCATAAACATGTACTGTGTAGTTGTACGGTGTACGTACCAGTTGACTAATTACTTCTCACGGCGATGGGTAGACAAGGAGATTGAGCCTCAAGAGCGGCACCCTTTGTGACCCGGCTGCAGAGCGCAGCCCATATGCTGGTGGAAGGATTTACCAACTGACAAGATTCGATACGTGTTCCATGTTTGCTTCCTGCCATTTCCTGCCTAGGGGCCTAGCTCTTCAATAGGCGGTGTTGCATGTGTGCTTGGAAACGTTACTTTCAACATCCTTCAAACCGTTTTATGTACTGTAGCGCAGAGAGGTACATGTTTATTACTGTTTATTTTTAAAAAAGAACAGTTGTGTTACTATTTGGTTCTTCTTGTGGCCATCGTTGCAGTTGTTGTGGTTGTTGATGTTGTTATTTATTTTATTGTCCTGCTTTTGTCGGTGTTGCCGCTGCTTATGCCTGATGGTTTTGTCCGCATCTTGGTTCCCATGTCTTCGACCGGTGACCTGTGATGCTTGGCATTTTCTTGAAAAATGGGAAAGACCCATGTTCTTTCCGATGCAGCAGTACTTCGTGATGGCCTCTTGGCTCTCTTGCTTGTTGGGGCTCCGCAGACCCCCCGTGCGGCGTGTGCCTTTTCGTAGTCTCGCCTTCTTTAGTGGTTCTTTCACGCTTAAGCTGGGAATAGCCACAGCTTCTGTCGAAGCACGACTACAGCGGAAATGCGGAAAATGCCGATGTTGCCGCTGCTTTGGCGTATCGTCCACTCCACAGCGGGTTTGGCAACAAACCGCAAGCCATGCAGCCTTTGAGCTCAGGTTGGATGCCTACGGCATCGACACAGTCCCGCAGGTGTTGGTGCAATATGGCCCAGACATGTCCACCAAGCAGATCTATGCAACTTGGTGACCAGCAGGAGTCGGCAAAGAACCGGCACTTTCCCGTCAACACTTCTTAGGCCAGTGCTGCCATGCTGTACTTATGTGCTACGATCAAGCTATTTCGGTCTCCGCACTCACAACACATCTCGGCCCCTCCTATAGACTATGAGACTCATGAGGCCTGGGACCCAAAAGTAGTGGACAACCTTGGGCGGAACAGGGTGGATCAGGAGTTGTTGCTTTTTTGTGCTTCTTCTCCATCAATCCGCACCGTCCCAGCAATACTCCAGGATGTTTTTCCAGAGAAGTCGTCTAAACCAAACTGCACGCGCACCCACAACACTGCCCCGGAAAGTGGCAAGAATCTAGCCTCAGAGCATGTAAAGCTTCTAACCTCAGAGGGTTGATGGAGGTTGGAATCTTTGGTTTGAGAGTTGTGCTTCCTGGCCTGAAGAGTTGCCTGAGCACTGCAGGCCAGCACCAACATGAGCTACACAGCCCTCAAGGAGGGAACATACCCGCAGAGGGGAGGCTCACGGGGTCGCTTAGATTGCTTAATATATATACTACTGTCTAATGACTTAGGCCAACGTGATGCAAGTGACATACCAATCTGGCTACCCCCAGGGCTAAGTCATGTGCCCTGACATATCGAGCTAAAAAAAAAGGTCTGGGTTGGGAAACCTGGTGTCATAGGACCTGTGGACACCTCCTCGACAAAAAATGTAAAAACACAGCTAAATAATGCTAGATACCACTGCCTGGCACCCTGGTGACACAGTGGTGACATAGGGTGCGACTATGTGTTTTTGCGGGCGCTGTTTCCTTGAATACCTCATACATATTTCTATGAATATCATGGTTGTGGCCTGATGACATAGGCCTTAAGAGGAAATGCCAATGTTGGATCAATCTTGATGACATAGGCTTTTGGAATTGGCGCGTATGTCCGACAAGTCCTAAGTTACTAGTCAGTAGTATATATATATATTTACATATGTACATATAAACGTATTTCGGCTTATTATTCGCCCAGACAGCATTGTGGCATTGTGGCTAAATTTTCAACTTGTACGGTTACAGCATACAGGCGAGGATGTTTGTGCCCTTGATTTATTGATTTTCTTTGTCTCTTTGCGGAGGCCTGTGCTGCTGCTGACCATATTCACTAGTTGGGCGAAATCAAAAAAACACTAGAGGAGGATGAATCAGCAACACGCAGTGTCTGACCTGAGGCTACCAACAGCCCAAAAGAGAAAGGCGATGAAGATGGACCATGTTAAGAGCAAAAGGAACGATAAAAGCAGGTACTGGTACTGCTTATATATATGTTGAAAGGCTCCACGACACCAGCAGGCTGTTCCCCACTCCGTGGTGGGTGGAGTGGCCCCTGTTTGGGTAAACAATTCTGGACAAAGATGGTGAAAGTCCTCGTGAAGAGGTGCGCATGGTGACGCACAGAGCCCAAAGTCGGGCAGGTTGCGAGTAGTTTTTGTTTGGCCCGCTCTTACTGAATTAAGTAGGCGCCTACTGTACTTAATTAAGTAAGGGAGACGTTCGCTCCTAGCTAGGATGCAGGATAGCAATCTCCTTGAAGAAGCGCTCGCACTACTAGAAAATGTGGTGCTACTAGTAGCTTCTTGTTACTATATACTAGTAAGGCACCTGTTACTACTAGCGTGGCACTTGTTACTAGCTTCAACAGCAAGTTTCACTTTCCATCACCTCTTGGCTCGAGACGGGGCGACCGCACGTGTTTTGGCGCGAAAAAGTCGTTCCTGCTCCTTGGAGGGAGTCATCCCATTTGGTGTGCATCATGCAGTTTGAAGCTGTATGACACTTGTGCCACTCAGTTGGGGTTGATGGCCAGCCAAGTGTGTTTTTCTTTTTCCGTTCATATGGCTTGTGTCATTATTGTTTTGGAGCCAAACTGTGTGAAAGATCTTTCTGAGGACGCACCATGTTCTGCTGCTGCGCTGTGGAGCCTGGGCCCACCGAGAACTTTGGGGGCATCGAAGAGCGATTGCGCGACCTGACCAGACAGGGTCAACCGGTGGAGGGCATCCGAACTCCAGGACAGCCGAAAGAAAGGCTGAAGATCCAGACGGCGGATGCATGCGATGGGTCTGGATATGATACAGTGCCAAGTTCGAGGTCTGTAGGTGCACTACAGGATCGTACGGTTGTTTGTAAGACTTTTTCTAAGTAGTAAAAGCCTTAGGTCCTTGAGTTCCTTACAACACAAGATGAGAAATGATGTCATGACGTTCTTTTTATGACATGGCTCCGTGGCATCAAGAACGTGACTAAAAAGAGGTGTTTTTTTGTTTGATTGTAACGACGCGTTGGGGTCCGCAATCTCAAAGTGATTCGCTTCCACTTGTTTATATCATTTGACTGCTATGGCTATGACGCTATGAGTCATGCCATCAAGCCCCCTTCGGTGTCGTTCCCTACGGTTCGAGGTTGAGAAATGAACGCTGAGGTGATGCAGGATTTGTGAAGACAAGTCCTGCTATGGACGGGGGGCCTGCTCCCATGCTGGCCTCGCTGGGTGAAGACGAAGAGTCAGACGGCAAGATCTTCGAGGCCAAATTCACAGGACCGCACCTGTGGGGCTGGGCTGAAAGAAGGGGCGGAAGGAAGAAGGAAATACATATGGAAACATGACGATGGGCGTTGAAAAATGCATTGGTGTTTTGTAACCACAGACAACTTTGAAAACTTTTCACGTGCGCATGTGATAAACAGTTTATACTTCAATATGTTTAATATTGTTTAGTTATAGATGTATGGGTTGTTTAAAGTCTATAGACATGTTTTATATATTTTTATATGTTGGATTGCTCTTGTATAGATTTAATCGACTTGCTGGGTGCATTTGCAATCCTACCCTAACTGCATAGTGTTGAATGAGTTGCTCCTCCCGGGTCTTTGGGCCGCGGCGCTTTGGTTTGGACGTTGAGACACGTCGCACCTCAGGAACTCCAGAAAATCATGGGCTTGTCATGGACACCTCCGACCCACTATGCATCATCGTCAAGATGGTCCAAGAGGATAAAGGCGCAGCAGAATGGAACAAGACAGTGGCTCCAAGCCAGAGGAGACGACTGAAGCTGTTTGCTTGGTTGGGTGAATCTCGCTGTCACAAAATCATGACTAGACTAGACGACCAATGCCGGACGCTCCACTGGAAGAAGTCCAAACAAAAGTCCTGCAAATGTCAATGTGCTTCGGCTCCTTGTGATGTGGCTTGTTTTCAGGATCCAAGACTACGATCGGGTGGTGGAGGTGAACAGTGTCAACAATCCTACGAAAATGGTCAAAGCCGTTCAAGTCGACGAAATCCGTTCCATTAAGTTCGAGCGTCCTGCACAAAGGACAGCCGCCTGGTTTCAGCGGGTGGTGCACGCTTTATGCTGTTAACCGTCCGCCAGACACCGAATGTTGTTCGGACTTCGGAGCAGGTTGGCACAGAGAACTCTACCATGTTTCTGTTTGTTTATTCCTGCTACTGTGGGGCGCAGACGTCATTTCAGCACCAAGAGTTTCGGAAGCTCTTAAAGGGCTTTTGAGGGAGACACTCTTGACTTCGTCAGCCTTAGGTCACTTTGAAGCGCCCCGGGGAGATCGGAGTTGTGCTACACTACAGGACTGAGCGTGAGTTTCACTTGTAACGATATTGTACATTGTGGATATTGTAGTTGGTATATAAGGATATATAAGGCAACTTTTGTGATCATCCTACGTATCCAAGTTCGGGGAACCCATGCCACAGGGATCTGCAGTGCACGTGGGCAGCAGGAGTTTGCTAGGTCAACCATATTTAAGTTGAAGGCTAGGAACTCGTGACCGAGCACAACAGAGCATGAGAGATCCCTGCGTGTAATTAACAGACAACACCTATGGGCACCTGACATGCCCTCCTCGAATCTCGCTGGCATGATCTGCCGCCAAATCCATGAGTTGCCGTGCAACCTCCGGAACACGATGAAAAGACGCACTGTCCAGCTCAACCCCTCAGAGGGTGGCTTCCTCGCCCAGGGTGTTACAGTTGCGAAATTCCATGCCCACGGGCACCCACCCAGTCACATTTGTCGCGGCCGGTGGAGATTTTGCGGCGTTTCGGGTCTGTGGACAATTGATTGATCGAGGTTTTCTCGTTAGAGTCTTCAGGCAGTTCGGCAACTCCGCGTCAGTAGACCCCTGTGATCCCTGTGCCCGATGCTTGAGCCCAGATAGGAGAACATGATGGAACATCCGGTCCATGAGTAAAAACATGTGAACTGATGGATCACATCTTGGCTGTTGAATGTTGGCCAGGAAGGTGGACTCCAGTGCCCCCTGGTTCCAGAAGATCAGCCCGGGCCTTCTGCAGCAATGGAACGTGGACCACCCGGAGGAAACCGTGGCCGTCCATGACCGGATCATCTCGGTGAACGGGAAGACGGGGACTCCAGAGGAAGCTTAGCACCTGTAACGGGTCAGCTGGGTGGCTTCAAAGGTAGCTGCTTGCTGGTCACTATATTAATTATATATGTGTATACTTGGATGAATCAAGGATGAAGCAATAGAAGCCTAGATAAGTGCCAAGATACAATTATATTGCAATGAGTTCTGCTGAAACGAAGTGGAACTACGAAAATATGTCTCCTTCTCTACGAGCTGTTTGGCTGCAGCAACTGTCTCACCCCCCGCCACTCCAATGTGGGTGGCGGGGAGAGCGATGGTACCGCCACCGTTTCCGAGAGAGTGATGTGGTTGAAGGGGCGATCCGTGACGATGAAGGACGTTCCCAAGGTACCATCATCCTCGAGGTGACGGAGACGGTGGCTACTGACAGCCAGGGACACTGGATCGTGGGCAAGTACATCTGCGCTAGTGATCCCCACATGACCTGGTGGATGACCGCCGGTGAGGGCAAGAAGTTGGCTGCCAAGTGCTACTACCATTTCTGCGAGGGCTCGGCATCGGATTGCACAGCTGTTAGGCGTGGCAAAGCAATTCACATCGAGAAGTTCCGGGTCCTGACGCAGAAAGAGGTGGACAACAAAGTTCCAGCCTGGGCCTACGAGAAAGAGGCAGGAAAGGCCTTCCAGGCCTACTTGAAGAAGAAGGATATGACTCCGGGCTCCAAGAAAGGGGCGGCTGCCTTACCCTGGGTGGACCCAGGTGAGGAAGAGTCGGATGGCGATGAGGAAGAGACCACTGAGGAGAGTTCGAGAAGAAGGGCATAAAGGCAAAGCTCCAGAAGGCCATGGAGATGGTCAAGAGACTCGAGAAAGAGCTCTCGGGCAAGAAGACCGGCCCTAAGGGCGACAAGTCAAAGGGCTCCAAAGGTGAGAAGAAAAAGAAAGAGAAGAAAGCCAAGGGAGACGCAGAGGGTCGAGTGAAGAAGAAGGACAAAAAGAAGCGCATAGCCTCACCCTCCCCTGGGGAGGCCCGGGGAGGAGCCAAAGAGGATGCGGGTGACCGGGGCCGAAAGAAAGGGACCCGTGGTGCAAAGGCAAAGAAGAAGCGGGCTGCCGAATCTTCAGCCTATAGTGATGAAGATGAGGGGGGCCTGTTTGGTGAAGAGGAGGATGCTAGTCCAGGAGGGCGTGCAGCAAGAGGGCGAAAGGATCGAGGACCCTTTGGTGGAGGTGACATTGTGAGGTATCAAGGTGACGCCTCCAGTGACTCCGAGACAGTTTTTCGCGAAGCCCCCACAGCTCCAAAGGCATCAAATCAGCTCAAGCTGGTGCAGTATGCGAAGAAGACGCCGGGCCGCTTGGCTTCAAGGTTACTCCTGAAGATGCAAGCAGAAGGGGCCCAGGGAGCTGTGGGGGCGAACCCAGCAGAGCAGGGGGAGATGACCCCTCCGGCAGCGGTGCACTACTTCCACACGATGATGGTGCCGCAGCTGGGGACCAAGCTGGGCATGAGGGCCCACCGGGAGATGCGCACAGCCCTGGACCTGTTAGCCCGAAAGTTGCCCGCACATGCAGCAGATCTCCTAGGGCAGAGGTTGAAGGCGATAGAGAAGAGCTGCCACGACGGGCATTGGCAAGCGGCGCAGTACCTGGAGCTTCTAGGTCCCGACGCAGGAGGGCTGCTGGAGAGAGACGTGGAGGTGTTCATGAACAGGGAGCATCTCCTCGATCTGAAGTTGAAGGGCTATCAGGGTCCCCGAGGAGGAAAGGACGGAAAAGGAAGCCAGGAGAAAGGGGGGAAAGAAAGGCAAGGAGAGAGGAAAAGGCAAAGGAGGGGAAAGAGAGAAGGAGAAGAAGGATTGAATCCGACTAAGCCCGCAGTGCAGCAGTCACCGGAGCCTGAGCGCCCGTGTCCTGAGGGGTGGAGAGCCTTCCTTTCGAGCAGACGAACCCCAGTGGAGCTTCTTGCGGGCCTGTGGAGGTCTCTTCGGGGCAGGGATACTCCTTTTAGTCGCCTGGCGCAGTTGGGAACCCGTGCAGGAGTGCCTCTCGAGGAGAAATCCTCTAAAGCAGTGCGGGGCGACGAGTTATTGCCCATTAACCCACAGGCCGTGTTGGGCTACCTCCAGCCCTGAGGAGAGTCAGTGGCTCAGGGTGTCGCGGGCATGGTGAGCGTGCTGAACTTCCTGTCAAAGGCGCAGGGCCAGGGAGGTTGGGCACCAGCGGACTTTAAGCAGACCCTCTCGCAGGAGCAGAAGCTGACAGTGGATCATTTGAGAAGAGCCCTGGATTACCTGGAGGATCGAAAACTCCAGCGCGGGCAGTATGAGGAGACCTCGCAACACCTGGCAACGGTGAGGTTTGACTATCAAGGGGAGCCAGTGGTTGCAATGGAAGAGATCACCGCAGACAAGGTCATTGCTTCATGGCCACAGGTGGGGCAAGCAGCGGTGCAGGACGCCACCGCCTTTGTGCCTGAGCCGCTGAGGTCCAGGCTCTTGGACCCTTCAAAGTGTCTGAAGCCAGTGCATGAATGGCCCACCGAACCGCATGAGTCTCGAGTGAGGGCCAGTGATGACGAATGGGGCAAACTGGTTCGAGCGGCCTATGAAAGAGGTCTCATGACAGCTGTCGAGTTGGATGAGGTCTTCAAGGATCACAAAGGGCGACCGGTGCTGAATGGAGCTGGTGCCGTCAAGAAGGAGAAGAAGGTGGATGGTCGTGTGATCAGCACACAAAGGTTCATCAGCAACCTCATCCCTGTGAACATGTTCCAAGACCGCCTTGAAGGCGATGACAAGCTCCTGCCCTACTTGGGGCAGCTCACCCTCCTCGAGCAGGGGGAGGAAGAAGTGTGGTTGGTGGACCTGGAGATGCGTTTCGACTTAAAAAAAAGCGGTAAGTGGAAATGCGCGTTTATAGTGTATACACTGCAAATGTTCCA